CTGCGCTATCTGGTTGTGCTAAGCAGTGGCCTAGGCCGTGGGGGTTCCCCCGCCGCGCCTTCAGGCGGGAGGGAGCCGCTGTCGGGAAGTCGAAGTGTCCGGTGTCTACCGGTGCCCGCGTCCAGGCGTCGGACGGGTGTCTGACAGAGGCAAAAAGTACTTGTAGAGAGTGCTCGTCTTCTTGCTGCTGCCAAGGGCTGGGAGGTGCCCTAAAGGTGAATCGTGCTGAGTGTTTGGAAGTGGCTTTTTTTCTTTCAGGTTAAACTGCCCTTTTCTCACAGCACAGCTTCTTCTGATTTTCTTCTAAATTTTTTTGTAACAGCAAAAAGTACAGGGAGGTAGGAATACGGCCTTGTCTTCTCCAATTCTCTTACCCATTCCGTTTGAGAGCAAGGGTGAAAGCAGTAGGCTCTCCATCCACTGACCTTTTCTTGGGGGGGGGGGGGGGGGGGGAGTGTGTTTTAGTTGTAACACACCTCCCCATTCTGCCCTCACATTTTTTAAGTGGGGGCGCAGGCTACTGTGTAGCAAATTGAAGCCTGCAAGGCGGGAACAAGGTGCTTTCAGATGTGGTTTCACATTACATCTAAGATAATTAAATACTGAGTCCTATGGAAAGATGCAGTCCTGTTTCAGGTTCCCCATCCCATGCATGTCTAAAGTTGCGCGTTAAATCAACTCAGCTACTTAAGCGGTTGGGGTTTGGGTTTGGGTTGGTTTGTTTGTTTTTTTTTCCTAGGGATAATTTTCTGCCAGAGCAGCCAGCTGAACTGACTCACTGTCTGCTTCATCACACGGTGTGTGTCTGTAGCATCACTACATCAGATGTTTACATTGCCGTGGTTTGCTCTCACTAACAGTACTCCATACTTTATCATAAATGGTTTGCACTTCTCACAAAGGAATTGTTTCTGTTTAGCAGATTCAGGCGAATTCATTGTACTTGTTTGCATTTTATAGCTTTGATTCTGGGGCAAATTTTCTCTCATGGTTATTTAAGAAAGCCCCAAAAGTTTGGAAGAATCAAGCACTTGCACTGTCATCCACTTGCACTGTATAAAGGACTGTGAAAATTAGATGTAAACGATCATATTTTCTAAGTTGTCAGTTTAGAACATTTTGTGTTACAGAAAGTACTTTATTTCTTCACCTCTGATAGCCTTATTCTGTTCGCATTGAAAGTCAATAGCAGTTCAGTTTTTGACTGCCGTGTTAGAAGCATAAGGAATTGGCTGTAGAAATGCATAATGAATGATCTTAAGCAGCAAAAAAAAAATAAATTCCTTGTATATGTAAGTATTATTCGCTACACCAGAGCTGAATTTAGCTTAAACGGTTTTCTAAACTCTAGGATATTTTCAATCTTATTTTATATTTTATTGTTGATTTGAACCTATGAATGCTACTTTGGTAGTGGTATAAAAATGTTTTAAAAAAAAAAAAAGTAAAAATCCTAATACAGGATTTTGTTGTGAAATCAATTTCAGGAAAATGCTGCAGAAGAAACAGTTATAATTGCAAATGAAACCTAACAGCATGTTACAAAGCTGTGAGTACCTACTAAGCATGTTTCTTTCAAAGAAATTTGTCGTGACATTATAATACTTCAGCAAGGGCTGAGGACAAGCCTTTATTGAGGAGAGGGATAAGCATAGTTTACAGCTTCCTGGGCTCATGAAAAGAGTCTGGTTTATATATTTAATTTTTCAATGTACATGTACATTGTACATGCTCGGCATAAGAACAAATATCTTCTGTGATTTCATAATATGCATTGCTGTTAAAAATGTTGACAGTTTTATTTGCAAGCTCTAACATTTTCTTTCTGTGTGTGAACAAAGAAAGCCTTGAACACGGAACTAAAAGCACTATTCTGTATTAGTAAATAAGAGTTACATAACACATATCACAATCACCTCTTCTCCATCGCAGTGTTGTTTGCTAGAGTGGACAGAGATCAGGATGCACCAGACGGACAGATGGTCTTTTAGTGGATACAGCAAATCTGCAGTTACCAAACTTCCCTCTGGCCTGTGGAGAGGACACAGTGGGAACTGAAACTGATAAAGTCCTGCTACTTTTCTTGTGTTAGCTCCATTGGTGCTTTTTAGTTAGCTCTTATTTGCCAGAATTGAACTTATACACTCTGGTCAAACACAGGAATCATGATCTGTGGTCATCAACCATGTAAAAATATATCTTAGAAATTATTACAGACCAGTTTAAGTGAACAAACAGGCAAAACAGGGTGGCTTCACATTTAATGACAGGAGAAGCTTGGTAAACCCTAGCTGCTTTGCCAAGTTCATGAACTAGATTTCAGTAATCTGAAACGTGGACTTTGGAAATTTTTGCCCTTGAAACTTTTGCCTTTATTTATTTTTCCAAATTAACATTCAAATGAGTCCTTTCTAAACTTTGGAGAGTAAACAGAAGAATCAGTACGTCACAAACTTCTGTTTAAGTCTGGAAAACAGCCGCAGTGGGAGCGCAGTGCCCATTGAGCAATGGAATATCCTGTGATAGCCTAGTTATGAAGATCTGATGATACAGCAACGCAGAGCTATGGGTAAGAACTTTTGGCGAACCACCTGATACAAGAAGCAAGTAGTAGAACACAGGACTTCTGTGGTCTATCGGGCCTGCTACAGCTGAAGAAATTGTGCCCAGACTGTTTTATCCAGCTGTCGTCAGGCCTGATACAAGTTATTATGTTTCCTTGCAAGTCATGCATCACTGACATCCTGTTCTCACCTACCATATCTGCCTTAAAACCACAATACATGCTGAAATCTGAGGTAAATAACTGTTGCAAATAACTTTTGAAAAGTACCCATGGATCTCTAGACAAAAGAGAAATGTCAGGACTGTGGCCTGCAAATTGCAAAACAATAGGTCAGAATAGTGAAAAAAAGGAAAATTCTTAATACAAAAATTTCATTCAGCAATACCTTGACAATGAACAGGAGGAAAAAGAGAAAGAATACAGTAAAAACGAAGAATAGCAAAGTACAAAGAGGGAATACATTTATTTTTTTTAAAGTTGTTGTAGATGGTGAAAAATTAACTACAAGTCTTAGCTATACACCTGTATCCTCATTCCTATGCTTCATGTGTGTTCTAATTGAATGTTAACAAACTGCACTGTGTGGTGTATGACTACATTGTCTGAATCAAGAGTATAGAAAGTAAGTAATGTCTGGAGTCTTATTGTCATTCCTGTAGTACCTATCAGTTTTGATGAAGGAATGCTAATAAAGATATGAGTCTACTAACTCTGTCAAACTGCTCGATATAGCAGATGCAGGTGAACATAAGTAATCTCACTTGAAAAAAAAAAAAAACCAACCCCCAAGATTTATGCACTTGCACCTTGTGTGTGTGTGTGCTTATCTGTCAACAAATCTGGTTGTGAGGGAGAGATCTTAACTAAATTACTATGCATTTTTTGGAAACGAGCAGCCAAGCAGGGGCACGTTGCTAATGTCCCTGTGGAGGGATAAGCTGCAGGCTGAAACCAATCACATTAGGCTCAGTTTCAGTATGTCAATCTAGAGAAAGCAAGGTTTTACTGTTTCTGTGGTGCGTGTTTGACTTGAACACAGCACAGCTCCCCGAGCGGTGAGAACATTCCCATATCATGCAGTCTATAAGGCAAACAAATTGCCCACGGGCTTACGTAAGATGGTCTAGATGTGTGCCATTTCATATATTTTCTCTCTATAATGTTGTCTCTGTCAAATGAATGTCAAAATTGTGACATTCCTGTGCAACTGTAAAAGAGCAAATCGAAATAATCATAAGCAAAGAAAGTAGTTTTAACTTTTTAGCTGGTGGTTAATTATTCCTACTCCAGAACAGTCTCAGAATTTTAAAGAAGTGGCCTAGCAACATACTGTCAGCTGCCAACAGTTGAAAACTAGCTATAGAATATCTGGGAAAGAAATGCCAGGAGGTGTTTCCTAACTCTACTGAAATACATTAGAGGTGAAAAGCTTATCTTGAAACGCAAGTATTTTACTCATTATGAACTTCCTTAAATAAAGATGTTTGAAGTGTATAAAGCAAATGAATGAGGAAGATAAACACGGTTGCCCCGTGACAGTGGCAGGCCCACACTTACCGTGACTGCTAGCAACCCCTGTCAGGGAGGGGAAGATCACTCTTCTGCTGTGTTAGTGGCATCTATGATCTGGAACAGAAGTTCTTTATTTCCATGGGTAAAAGCTGTAGACGATCAGTTAGAAAAAGGTTTTATATCTTTTTTGGGGGGAGGTAGCAGTAATATTTTTGCTGGACAGGAATATATTGTCCATGGTGGGAAAAAGGTTTTATCTGCAGCATTGTGCTCAGAAGGAGGGAAGCCCCTGGAGACTGTGGGTCTATTTCAAACCATAAACTAACTCGCTCTGTCTTACCAGACAGTTTGTAGATCTTTGGGAAAAATCTCTCTCCTCATCAAAGATGGCTGGGCTTTTTTGATGGGGCCAGGAAAGGGGTGAGAAGAGGCATATGTAGACTTGATTTGTAAAAACTATTTGAAAATATTCATTCTGTACTTGAGTGGAAATTTACAAAATCCTGAACTCTTCACATTACAGTGAATTTAGCAGCTTTCAGGGTTACAGCAAGATAAGATGTAGATTGTACTTAAGTATAGAAATTTGATTAGAAAGTTAATCCACTGTTTGAGAGAATGCTGTTGCTTAAAGTTATCTTATTCTGGATTTAATTTTTATCATGCAGTTATATTTAGTTTTGCCAAAATAATTGCTGGCTTTCTGCACTGGTCAGCTAGTTAAGTAACAAACAAAGGTTCTGTATCACTCATTAAAGAATGATACAAGAACAGGCATGCAACAGCCAGATTAATCTGTACTGTTGACAGTGCTCTGGAGATATTTGTATGTAATTGCAGGCTCCTCCTTCAGTACTGGGGAAAAAATTGTTAAATTATGATGACTAACCTAAGTTTTGAGGCAGAAATGTCATCTAGACAGTTGGCTTCTATTATTAAATTCTATTATTTTAAAGAGTTCTTTATGAATGGTTTGTTAAAAAACTGTTTGAAGTTGAAAAGCCAATGCAATTTACAGGTACACTTTTAAGAATACATTATTTTTAACAACATTAATCAGTTTTGGCTGCTGACACAAGTGTTGTTCCACTAAAATGATTTTGTTATTGTTTACTAGAATATTTTTTTTAATCCTAATGTAGGAAGGTTTCAGGTTGTAAGTTATCAAAAGAGTAAATGCCACATTGGTGGTAAAACCTGGCTTAGCCCCCAATACCAATGCTTTGTATGTTTCTGCACTTTACAGCCACCTGTGTAACCCTGGGGATATTTTGAAGGATGTTAATGGATGCATTTTTATATAGATCATACATATATTTATCCAAAGTTTTTGTAGTCGCTGACTACATCTGCTTCTGGGGTTAAAAGCAGTAGTCTTCAAGCAGCACACAGAGGCAATATGTACATGTGGGTCCTCAGGGCAGAGAGGGCATTCATTTTATTGAGGCATACATTTGGCACATTTAAAATCCAGAAAATTCTTAGCTCTGCTGTGGCTTTGTCATTCCTTACAGTTATAGGAGAGGCTCCAATTATTACTCTAGCATTTGTGCAGATCTGTGTTGGTAAGAATACACTTTCCCTGCCCTCTAACTCTCAATCAAAAATGTTGTGCCTGTAAAGAAATCAGGGGAAACATAGAGAATCAGCAATTTTAATTCTAATTAGACTTGGTGTTAACCTTTTAAACTAAGAAATGCCTCCATTCTTTGAGAATTAGTTTCAATATTAACATGGAAGCAATCAGGGTCAACCCATACCACGAGCAGCTGGACTCCAGTGACACGCCTTAAAAAATCCTTATTTGTTTTTTACACATAATGAATTACAGAAACATAAGTCATCTGTTAGCTATACCTTGGAGGTTAAGATACATAGAGATATGTGTATGTACTTGTTTGTGTGCATAAGCTGATGGCAGGACCTCCATTTATCCAGGTGAAATAAGGTTGATGCTCTGAATCTTCTAAATACCACGTCAGTACTCTCACTGGTAGGATGATTGAGGTGTACACCTAAGAGGTCTCCTCACAAAGACTTGCTCTTTTACAAGAATTCACAAATTCAGTAACAATTGGAGAACATTATTGATACTAATGAAAAGCCAAATAGCAGGATGAGCCACTGTATTCAATCTAAATCTGGAAAATAAGAGCAATTTAATCTTTATAACTTTTTTTATTTTTAGATTTGTAACATGCATGAGAGATGGAAAAGAACCTGTGGAAAAGCACTCGATTTTTAATGCTTTATGGACCAAAGGCTACTTTTACTTACTCTTGTGTAAGCCAGTTGACTGAATTGGAGCTCTCCTAGTGTAACAGAGTAGAATTTGGCTTTAAAGTTACTTGTTAATAAGTGAGTAAGGTGGCTGACACACAGATGTGGTCTTTATAGTGGCAAATTCAGTCATGCTGGTTTCTTCTGTGTGTATAGGACAATAAATAGCCATACATGATATTTCTGATTTAGAAAGTGATTTCATGTATGGGACCCCATTTAAGTAATCTGTATTACTTTAAGTATATCAAAACCTTAAGTGAGAGAATTTGCCAGAGACGACAGTGATGCAATTACATCCAAAGATTTAACAGCATCGTGGTATTGGAAATGCCTGTAGCATAAGAGGATGAATTTAAAATACTTGTGGAGAACCCAGTGCGGTTTACGATTGTTGCTCTGCAACAGCTGAGTGCTTAAGCTTCGTCCCTGCGCCGCGAGCTGCCTGCAGGTGCAACTTAAATCCTGATGGGGGGACCGTTTTTATTTATTCAAAGGGCGTAAATACCCGTCAGAGTAGGGGAGTGGGTACCCGATTCTGTTTCGCTGAAGCAGCTTGCTTCGGG